CCCCGCGACCGGCCCCGGCCTTGCTCTCACCGCCCCCTCCGGGCGCGGCTCCTACTACACAAAGCGGGGGCACCGGCGCAGCTGACGGCCGGCTCCGTTACTTCGCTGGGGCCTGTGGCTCCTCACCCTGGCCTCTGCAGCCTCTTCGGGCCGTCGTGTGCCCTGGTGTGGCTTCCACGACGACTAAGCGCTCCCGCCACCGCCAAAGCGACCGCTTCTCTCCACAGCCTGCACCCACAGGCGAGCTTTTGGCTGCTGACCAACGCCTCAGGAGATGACCTACACGAAACGCTTTCCCATTGGCTCCCGTCTCCCAGCTGACCTTGGCGCCCTACGCGCACGTGGAAAACTGTTGTTACCGCTCTGCCCCTGCGTCACTTCCGGCCCCAACACCAAAGGGGCGGTGCTGACGCCAGCGGAGGCGGAAATCAGTCCCTGGTTCCGGCTTCTGTCCCCTGGGCGGGATTCCAGCGCAGGCGCAGTGTTTCGGGGGCAGAGACTCACGGCCCAGCCTCTGCGAGGCTACCCGCTTGCGCCCGGGTTACCCGGGACCTTACCCAAGTGATGCCCCGCTATTGCGCCGCGATTTGCTGTAAAAACCGCCGAGGACGAAACACTAAAGACCGGAAGCTGAGCTTTTACCCGTAAGTTGTCCACTGTGCAGAAGTGTCATTTTTAGCCGCAGGCCGCGCGTCTCCTTTGAGGTCTGGAAATCAGTCCCATGCTCCCATTCTGGTCACGGCGCGGGAGGATGCGAGGGCTTGGGTTCAGTATGTCTCTTCAGACTCCGGGCTGCTGGCGAGGCGTAGGGGCCTGTTTGGGTTTGAATACAGGAGTTAATATTTTGCGCGGTGCTGGGTGATTTTCAGAGCCTTTCCCTCATTTCACTTGACCTCATTTCATTGAATGACGTTAGCCAGTATTTAGCTTAAACCTCTAACAAACCTGCTAATTAGGAAGATGCACCCAGAGTTCCATGATCTGTGAGTTAGGTTGCATAGGAACACTTTAATCCCATTTTTCTCCCGAGCAAAGCCAGAAACATTGGATAACCGAAAAACCTTGCAAGTTTTGTGACACAGCTGGAATTATCACCTGTGTTCTGTTCAAAGGTGTACATACCCTTCATTAGTGCAAAAAACAGGGTACGTGTTCTTCACAATGACTAGGACCACGAAATATTTCCGTGAAATTATAGGAGAATTATGCAGAGCAGGGAAGCAGTATTGTATAATACTTAAAGAGCCTGGGCTCCAAGATTACACTAACTTCAAATGCTGTTCCATTATTTTGTTCTGAATAACCTTCTGCAAAATATTTAGACTCCCAGTGCCTCATATCTCTCATATATAAAGATATTAGTAGAACTTAATTCAAGCTCACAGTTTGAAGAGATAAAGCAGTACTGGCAGGAGGTGCGTGCTTACTAGATACGGAAAACCAACAAATTTAATATATGCCATTTCCCTGTCTCTTGTCTTTAAAAGTGATTTCGTTTTGAGCTAAACTGGTTGTCTAACTTTCTTTAAATTTTACCCGGTTATGTTGCGAATCCAGTTTTACTTTAGACCCGAAGCTGCCATTCAGTAGTGGTTCAGCTGCTTTCCATTATCATACATAATAGAAAAAAAAAACTTATAACCTTAATTCATACTATATGGCAATTTATCAAGGACTATCTCCTTGTTCCCTTTCACGAGGAAATAGGGGAGGAAATAGGGAATAGGCCTTTATATGCCATTACATTAATGATTGTAGCTTTGAGATGGTTTGTAGCAAAAAGAAAAAAAGAAGATCATGTTAAGCTAATTCTCACATATAAAAAGTCCTTTTGATTAATCTTTGTAGACCTCAGAGTTACTGTATTTGAGGAGGAAAACATAATCCAAATTAATTATAAAGATGAATTATAAGTTTTTTGAAATACGAATTTTAAGCGTTTTTATATTTTTATAAATGTTTAATTACCTGTATAGCTCCAAAAATAAAAATATAGGTTTTCCCTCTAATAGCACAGAACTTGAAGAACTGAATTTTTTCATGCTAAAATTATAGCAAGCAGTAGTACATAAATGTATATGAATTTAGTAATTCTGTAAATATACACAAATTGTGTCCTATTACAATGTGATTATCTTGGGCATTTTGGAGGAATTGTGTAATTACCAATTATTAAATTGAATCTCTATAAAGGTACTAACTTATTCAAGGAATATAACCCATATGATTTCTTTAAAAAGATTTGTCTGATGAGGAAATAGTGTAATGTATTTGCCAATAAGGATATTCACGGAATGTAATTTTTTATGGCATAACTTAGCATACAGTACTTAAAATAAAAATTGCAAGTGGTATTCTTACGCGTGAATTTATATTTAAAAAGCATTGTTAAAGACGTTTCCATTTTATTTCTATGAAAAGATTGAACTTAATCTTTGTGTTTTTAAATGCCTTTGCTGGTTATGCTTGTCATACTGAAACCTAAGTTACTTATTTGCAAGGTTAAAATATTTTCAAAACATTGTTTTTATGATGTGAACTTCCAAAGATGAATCACCTGATTTCCCCACATAAGAGTATCAGTGTTAAAAATTATTTCCTATAAAACACCAAGATTCCTTTCCCCATGATCTTATAAACCTACCAAAATTTAGGGGGAAAATCATACTACTTACTGCAAGTGTCAACCAAAAATGTGAAATGGGAGGGAATGTATAACAGCTACAATTTGTATGAGAGACTTGATAGGAAATTATACAGTGTTGTACAACAGAAATAAAACCCAAGCCACGTAAGTAATTTTAAATTTTCTACTAGCCACAAAAGTAAACAGAAGCAGGTGAACTTAATTTTAATGTATTTTTTATTTAACTCATAGGAAGTTATTATGTAAGGTATGTGTCCAGCTGTATTCTTTGGAGAATCATCAAAAGAAATATCACTGTCAGTTAGTGCTTAGTATACTTTAAATCAAATGTATTTCAATGCTAAGCAATTTTTTCTACCGAATTATGCCAATAGTCCAATTTTACCTTTATATATAGTACTACATTGCAATATTCTAGAGCCATCTTTAAATCCAATATAGGAACGAAATACAAAAGCTATCTTGTCTTTGTCTTTTATATTTGATTTGTTTCTTATAAAACATGAGTGTATTATTTTTAATATGTTTATTTTTCTTGCTTCAGAATTCCTTTTTCAGAACTTCAGAGTTCTTAGTCTTGTTTAGAGAAGTCAAGAAATACTAGACTAAGTATAGGTAGAATTGGAGCTGATGCCAATAAAGAGACTGTAATATTAGTCGTTTTTTTAACAGTATTCATTTTATTCAGTTAAATCATTTGTTGAGTTAATGTCTCCTTATATTAAAAGCATTAATATAGGGACCAGGCATTTGGCCCAGTGGTTCTGCTGCCTGCCTTGCAAGTGCAAGGCCTCAAGTTTGATCCCTGGTACCATAAAAAAAAAAAAAAGAAAAGAAAAGAAAAGAAACAAATTAATATAAATAGCCTAAAGCTTAATGCTACTTAAAATTATAAACAAACCATTTGAGCCGGGTGTGGTGTCACACGCCTGTAATCCCAGCACTGGGAGGCTGAGGCAGGAGGATCGTGAGTTCGAGACCAGCCTGGACTACATAGTGAGTTCCAGGTCAGTCTCAACTACAAAGTGAGACCCTGTCTCAAAGCAAAACAAAACAAAAAATAAAATAAATAAATCATTTGACTTGTGAAATTACTATGAAATACATTTGAATGAGAAAATATAATTTATACAAACTCTTTTGTACTTCTGCTTCCTACTTCCTGTTTGTTGTACAACAAAATAAAAGTGGTACATGATCCATAAAAAAGAATGGCTTTCATCCTTCACAGGAATATATATTTTACTTGAAAGATGCTGAATTGTATTTTACAAGCTGGTCTCAGACAAAAGTGTTGCCTAAGTGTCATAGTGTCTTCTTCAGAGGTAATGGGGTAGTTGTCCTAAAGATGCTCTTATTTGATAGGAACAACTGCTCTCCTTTTCCAATACTTGACAACTAGAATACCTAGATATATAGGTCTGGCATATGGTAAAATTATAAAAAGCATAGTAAACATTTCCTTTTTTTGTTTTTTTATTTCAGATTTCCTCTCCATGACAAAGAAAGACTTGAAAAGTGGTTAAAGAATATGAAACGGGATTCTTGGGTTCCCAGTAAATACCAGTTCCTGTGTAGTGACCATTTTACTCCTGATTCTCTTGACATCAGATGGGGTGTTCGTTATTTAAAACAAACTGCAATTCCAACAATATTTTCTTTGCCTGAAGACTGTCAGGTATTGGAGTTGGGGGGAGGAGGGTTAGGTTGAACAGGGTGGCACATGGCAAGGGCAGATTACAAGGTGGCAGCTGATGAGGTAGAGAAAGTGAGAGGGCAAGGTAACTTGGGAAAATATATTTAAGAATAAGGAACACCAGTGTGAGTTTTTATTCAAAGTGTGATAATGTTAATAAAATTTGAACTTTTGTGAAACAGTTTAAGAGAATCGGGAGATATAGCACTTTATACATTATTGAGTTATAAAGAGTTAAGATTATTTTAACTGGTCATTTGAATGATCTGAAATGTTTTTATCATATTGATGGGCTGCATGTTTTTTTTTAATTAACATATTTAAGTTGTTACATTCTTAGAACCTTTTTTAACTGAATAAATTTCCTTGGCCAATACATTGCTCAGAATTATAATTGAACAGTCCATTATTAAAAAGAGAATAAGCTGATAAAGTGTGTCTTTTTTAGAATTTGAAAATATTATTTTCTAGGGAAAGGACCCTTCCAAAAAAAAATCTCAGAAGAAGAAATTGGAAGATGAGAATGAAGTATTTCTAAAAGCCAAGTCAGAAAAATCATTTCTATCAAATGAGGCAAAGAAAAATACAGTTAACACAGATGTGCTCCCTGAACGTGCAGAATTACTTGATTCATATGCCATAGTGAATCCACCAGCTCCAAAAACAGAAAGTATGCAGAGTAACGTAGTAACTCTTAATCTAATTAAACATGGTACCAAAAATCCACAGTCTACCTTGAAAACATCAGTCAACCACGATTTAGGTAGAAGTAGTTTTAATGAGAATCAAAATTCTACAACTATTACTTTGACAACTTCAGATTCAGAAGGTATTCAGCAGTCTTTGGAAACCCACGAAGTGCTTGAAATAACTACCGATCATCTTGTTGATCCAAACCTTACAAATAATTCCATGGAAATTAATTCACAGGAAAATCCTTTCTTATTTAGCACAATCAATCATGCAGTTGAAGAATTAAACACAAACAAAGAGTCTCTTATTGCCATTTTTGTACCCACAGAAAATTCAAAACCTGTTGATTCTTTTACACCAATCCAAAAAGAAACCATGGAAATGGAAGATAGAGATACTGAAGACTCCTTATATAAGGATGTAGATCATGGGGCAGAAGTTTTGCAAATTGATCATTCTTACTGCAGACAAGACATAAATGAACATTTATGGCAAAAAGTCTCTAAGCTACATTCAAAGATAACTCTCCTTGAGCTACAGGAACAAAAAACTCTAGGAAGGTTGAAGTCTTTGGAAGCACTTATAAGCCAGCTAAAACAGGAAAACTGGCTGTCTGAGGAAAATGTCAAAATTATAGAAAATCATTTCACAACATATGAAGTCACTATGATATAAAAAGGTTTTTCAAGCTATGGTTTTTATTAATAAGCTTTTGCCAGTTAAACCAAAATGGGAACTTCTTCCTCTAAAAATAGAAGTTCTCACCTTAAGCTATAAACATACTCTAATATCATGATATTCTGAAAATGCACATTAGTAACAAAAATTTGAGAGGTCTTGAGCTGCAATGAAAAACAATTTTATTACTTGATAATTTCCCAAAGTTACTGTGGCCAGGCGGGGTCACACCGGTAATCCCAGCACACGGAAGCTGAGGCAGGAGGATTACTGTGAGTTAGAGACCAGCATGGGCTACATAGTGAGTTCCAGGTCAGTCTCAAGTACCTAGTGAGACCCTGTGTCAAAAAACCAAAATATAAATAAATAAATAAAACACTATGTTAGTGAATACATAATAAGATTTGGTCATAAGATGAAAGAACAAAGATGGGTGAAACAGCTCAGAATATTATCAGACCTTGGCTCTACCAATGGTATATGACTTAAACAATATACTTATTCTGATTTAATCTCAGCCCCTAATCTATAAAATAAGGGCAATTACAAGATTTCTTTTTGTTTTTTTGAGGCAGGATCTCACTGTATAATCCAGGCTGACCTTGAAATCACTATGTAGCCCAGGTCAGCCTTGAACTCACAGGAATCCTCTTGCCTCAGCCTTTCAAGTTCAGGAGTATGCCACCATGCCCAGTATATATGTGCTTTTTTGTCTTGATTTTTTGTTTTTGAGACAGGGTCATGCTATATAGTTCAGCCTGACCTTGAACTCAATATGTATCCCAGACTGGCTTCATACTCTTAGCAACTGTGCCTGCTCCTGCCTCAGCCTCCCAAGTGCTGAGATTACAGGCATGAGCCACCACACCCAGTTTTGTGTCCTTTCTATTAAGCTACCTTAATTAGAATGATTTTTTTTCCTTTTTTTGTTGTTTTTTTCAACTGTATTCTTTATTACTACATATTTGTCATACATGTTGATCACATTCAGCATAGAACAGATTTCCTATAAGAATGCAATTACAAAATAGAAGTGGGATAGCATTTATATTAAATTATCCTCAATATTTCTGTATTGCTTTAACTTTTGACTTATAATTATGTACCTATAATATATAGCAAAATACTGCTATAATTTTATTTTACTTGAATTCAACTCTTAGGAGAGGTACTTTAAACTTGAAAATATATATTTCAGTACTTTATAAATAGCTGACCATCAATACATAGCTATTTAAGTTTCTTAATATCTTTAAGTTTCTTAATGTTTCTAATATCTTAATCTTTATTTATAAAATTATATTTATAAGCCAAAAATTTAATGAGGTTCATTTTAAATACATATAAATATATTTTAGAATTCATAGTTTGTATCTATTTCTTTATAGATACAGATTTTAAAGTATATGCCTGTGTCATTTTATAAATCCAAAATAATAAATATTACAAATTCTCACTTAGGTATATTTTATTAAAATTCATGAGCAAGAAATGATAAGTGGTGATGACCTTAGGAACACAAAGTTATTCTCTTGGAAAAGAGAAGATTTGATTATATCAATATAAATACTGTTTATAGCTGCATGAATTTAAGAAAAATGTAAAAGCAAAGACTGTGGTAATAATGCAGAAGTGACAAATAGATGATATATGTTCCCCCCAAATTGGCAGTCAATAAAATGTTATTGCCAGTTGTATTGAGCAAGTTTCTATTTATCTGATTCTTAATTTTCTCATCTGTTAAATGAAAAGTACTATTATATATCTTTAAAAATGGAATTTCTTTAGGATAACAAAACATTTTCTTGGACCTGGGAAATAGAAGGAGCTCGATAAGCATTTAGTTAACTCTGAATAGCAAATAATACTGTTATTTTGTAAATATATAGCAATTATTTTTTACATATCTCAGTTTCTTCCAGTGACTAAAATTATGTGATATTATTTGACAGCATGTCAGCTAATAATAAAAAGATTAGACGTATCTTTATACAGTGACCATGGAGAAGGACAAGTTTTAAGTATTCTCATGTTGCATTTTGCTGTTACTTAAGTAGTAAAATGAAAATACAGTAACCTTAAGTCACAATTACATAATGTTTCAACTCAGCTTTTAGCACTATACATCATACTAATTTTATATTTGTTTAAAGTTAGGCTTTTCAGTAGTAATTTATGTACCTGGCTGTATTTTGTTAAACTTAATAAATCTAAGTAAAAGGTCTTTTTGTCAATTTTGTATAATCAGTTGAGTTTATCAGCCTAAACTAGTTCACCTGTAAGTTATATTTGTAAATCCTTGCCTGGTTTCTTTCTTATTTGGACTTCTACAGAAATCTTAGATAATCTTGCCTGCTTTTAGTACTTCCCCCTCTACATTATCCTGGATTCTGCTGTCAGCTTTTTACCTAAACTACAGATCTAACTTATCAGCTACCTACTATTTAACTTTTGTAGCTCAGATATCTCAAATTACTCTCTGGTACCTGTAAAATAAAGCCAAATTTGTTACCACTGTATATGTCATCCTGTCTGATTATGTTTATCCTCTGTTGTAACCAGACTGGATTCTTAGTATTTCCCAAAGATCCAGACATATCTGTCCCTCTGCTTACAGCCTGCTTTATTCTCTAAACTGAACCAGTGTCGGAATTACACTGAAACATTGGTAGAATTGTATCCCTGTTTTCCAGACAAGATTGTTTCCTTTGTGACCTACAGTTCTTTTATAGCACTATAGCACCATCTGTTATATTTTATGTGATGATATCTATATTACCTCCGACTAGATTGTAAAATCTAGAAAGAAAGAATTTATGTATATCCTGTTCTTTAGTATGACCTTAAACCCTTATTAAGAGGTGGAGTTGGGGCTGAGGATTTAGCTCAGTGGTTCTGCGCCTGGGGTCCCGAGGAGTTTGATCCCCAGTGCCAAATAAAAAAAGAGGTGGAGTAAGTTCTATTCCTGCATGGCTTCATAAGTGATTTGACCTGGAGAATATAAAGCGACTGCCAATTCCAAACTTGGCCCTTAAGTGGGCTGGCATTTTCCACTTCCTCTTTGGAATACTTGCTATCAAGTTCTGTGGTTACCTGGAAAGTCCCATGATACGTTTAGAGGCTCTAAAGAAAGACATCAGACATGAGTAAAGACACTATGTTGGAAAGGCACCCTCAAGACCCAGCTGCTTGCTCAAATAAATACAGAATTGCCATGTGACCCAGCAATTCCACCCCTGGTAATACACCCTAGAGAAATATAAACTTATGTCTGCACAAAAGCTTATACATAAATTTTATAGCAGATTGTTCTTTTTTTGTTTGGTTTTTTTGGTACTAGGGATTGAACACAGGTCCTTGCGCTTGCAAGGCAGGCCACTGAACCACTGAGCTAAATCCCCAGCCCAATAGCAGGATTGTTCTTAGCATCCAAAAAGTTAACCCAAGGGTCCATCGATTGATGAATCAGTAAAAAATGTGACATATCCATACAATGAAGTATTTGGCCCTCCAAAAAAGGATGTTCTCATACTTCAACAAGGATGAACCTGGAACACATCATGAGAGAACCCAGAGGTAAAAGGCCACACACTTCATTTACATGAAGTGCTCAAAATGCAAGTTCACAGAAACAAAGATTAGTAGTTGCCGTAGCTGGGGCAAGACGAAGATGAAAAGTGCTTGATGAGTATGGTGCTGTTTTGAGGCCGATGAAAATTTCTGGAAGTAAGCAGTGATGGCTGCACAACTTTGTGAATATATTTTTAATTGAATTATATACCTTAAAATGTTAAATTTTATAGTATGTGATAAAGTATTTTAAAAAGGACTCAGCTGCTCTAGATGACACCAAATGGAGCAGAAACACATCTAGCTGAGCTCTTCAAATTCCTTAAAGACAAAATTATGAGCAAAGTAAAATATTTATTTTAAACTAAACTTTTGTGATGACTGGGCAGCTGTAGGTATCCAAAACCACCCCTCTTTGTCTTTGCTTCATCTTGATCTGATGTAATTCTCTTGTAAAAACCTTCAATAATACTGCTCTTCCCTCTGTTTTCACTTGCCTAAACACCCATTCCTGGTTGAATTCAAATACCATTTTGCCTCTTCTCTTTCAACATTACTAGCTGGAAAAACTGATACAAATGGACTAACTCCAGTGGGCCCAGCAGCGTTAGTGCTTTTCTGTAAGAAGTCCATGACACTGCTTTCAAGTTCTTTAAACACTCCTGCCTTCCTCTCATTGCCCTCCCTTCTATCATTCCAAAAAGAGTCTGATCACATACTTCATTGAGAAAAAATCAGAAACATTCCTAACTACAGATTGAATTCTTCCCAAAATTCATATTTTGCAGCTTTAACCTCCAATGTGTATTTGGAGATGGGGTCCTTAGAAAGGAACTTAAGGCAAATGAGGTTACATGAGAGGAACTTTGGTGTGATAGCTTAGTGTATTTCAAGGTAGAGATGCCATAGTACTGCTCTCTACACTGGGAAAACAGCAAGAAGGCAGCCATCCACAAGCTGAGAACTCCCTCATGAGAACCCGACTGCTGCACTGTAATATTCTTCCAGCCTCCAGACTGGGGAGAAAAAAAGTT